CAGCACTACAGTGTGATCATCCTGTCAGCAACTTCCAAGCCCTCAACAATATATATTCGATTTTCAATTTCAATTTATTTTTATATAGCGCCTTTCACAACAAGGTTGCCCCAAGGCACTTAACAAAGCTATATGTTATCTATATAAAACATCCATCAATAAATTACCAATCAGTTGAAGTAGTATTATTGTCAGACAAAAGTAGAACCCCTCTACAGCTGCACCCATCTTGGCAGTAATCTTGTCTGTAATAATACATTCAGGTACATTTGTTCCGGGACATCTGGTAAACGAATAAGTAGATGCCTTTAAACTGATATAAAACATTCTATCAGATAAAACCGCTGTGTACATTGAACACTTTCAGCTCACAGGAGGTGTGCCCTGAACTTAATGTGTGGAAACTCTGACTCACTTATATAGCACCAGTGGCTCTTGATTCTTTGGTTTAGCAAGTTAAGACAATGTGCTCATTATTTCAGAGAAAAGCATTCCCCATCGGATTGGATCAAAGGGCACAGCTCAGCTTACATATTAAGAGGTCAATTAAATTAACACTGTTAAAAACATTTATTTAAATGCCAACTGCTGTGTTAATGCGAGACTGTCATGAAACACTGAAGTCATCTGATTTATTGTTAAGAATATTGACAGATCATCTGTATTGGATAAATCGGGCATTATAAAACTTGACAAATTCACTCTTTCTTCCCAACTCAAAATGCCCTGAAACTAGGATATAAAGTGAGCTTCTACCAGCATTCTAAAATCCTTCTGATAACATTCTGGGGACATTTATGATGTGGAATGCCATGTTTACATTGCAAAGCACAAGAGGTAGTAGAATTTGAGGACTGAGGATGGGACCATGGGAATTTTGACTAATGAAGTTAAGTGTGCTTTTGTAGGCAGACAGCCTTGCAACAGCACTGGTCTCACTGGACTCTGCTGTTAAGTGATTATTGTTTGTAGTGTTCCCATAAAGAGAAACAAAAACTGAATAAAATTAACATAAATTTAGCACTGTAGTTATTCACTATGTAGTTCATTACAATAATTAATTTATAAGTCTATATAAAACATTAATAAATTGACTGTTTCTAATAATATAAATGAGAGCGAAATATATATCCAGTCTGCAAAAACTTAAAATACATAAAGGACAGTTTATGACTTCTACTTATTGTGTGACAAGATATGTGGTGATGCAAAACTGTGAACTTTAGAACGAGCGAACTTTACAAAACAGCACAAGGCCCACACTTCCTATCAAATGCCCAGCACAATAACCAATACAACAAATCCTATCACATGGAATATGAAGCACATTTGCCGTGCTTCTGAGAAATATTTACTTTAGTCATTGTTGTAAACAAACGTTTTAAAGTTGAAGCAGATACCTCTGCCCATAGCTTTTAAGCCTTAAAATACTATTTGAACCACAAAATAGCATTTAAAAGAAGTAAAATGTACTTCTCTTCCATATGTGCAAATGCACCTACTGTACAGATAACCAGCTTGCTCTGATGTTGCGGAGGACTTGATGGGCTGTGTGAGATCGTCCCTCCGCCCCTGCAGCCCTACTCACCCTTGGCGTGAACAAACAAGATCCAGCAGAAGCTGAAGACCTCCGACACGGTGCAGGGGTGGCGTCTGCTGGAGATAAGAACAGTCAGCCATGCTTTAGCAATC